TTTCATATGTGATATATGATGAGATACCACCAGGGTTGCCACCCATGTAAGACATACAACATGCCATTAACTTTGTTCCAAGAGCAATTATTCCTAACAAGCTTGCTTGCAAGATGAGTCCCCAGGAACATGCCAAAGTCTAACGTCAAGTTGAAGAGCTATTGAAGAAAGGGTTGGTTTGAGAAAATATCAGCCCTTGTGCTATAACCTGTTCTTCTAGTACCTAAGAAGGATGGGAGTTGGAGAATGTACATTGATTGCTAAGCTATTAACAAGATCACTATTAAGTATCATTTTTGATATCGTGGCTTGATGATATGCTAGACCAGTTGTATGGTTCCATTATCTTTTCCAAAAGTGACCTTTGTAGTGGATACCACTAAATCAGAGTTCGGTTAGGAGATGAGTAGAAGACCACTTTTAAGAGTAGAGATGACATGTATGAGTGGAATGTGATATCATTTGGGTTAGCAAATGCCCTTAGCACGTCTATGCACTTGATGAATCATGTATGAGACCCTCTATTGGAAAATTTATTATTGTGTACTTTGATGATATTCTTATTTCCTGCAAAACTCATGGCACAGTTTTTACTCATTATCTTTCATTTTTGGTAACCAGCCCATCTTATTGAGATACTGGGCACGATGATGCTACTCTTGCAAGATCCAGGATCATTTGAACTCGTATCTTTATGTATCAATGGTCCAAGGTTTGTAAATGGCAGGATTTCAGCATGCTCATCCTGTAGTGGCTTTCTATTAAGCTTGGGAGCTCCTTTGTTCAAATTGTTAATTGGGCCTGACTCTTCAGTCACTCAACCCAAATGGCTTAATGACCTACCCAATGCTTTGATGAGCAACGCTTCATATCTAGTCAAAACAATACTCCCCACGTGCTAGTGGATGATAACGTAAGCCATATGGCATATTTTAAAAAAAACTAAAATGTTGCTTCGTATTCTAAGCACCCTCTGTTAATATAAACTTATTCTTTTTTTAACTGTTCCCTTTACCCTTCTTGTCAACTTTTGTTGTTTAAACTTTTGCTTTTCTCACTTCGTCTTTCCTTTGCTCAACAATGGCTTCCTCTTCTACTGCCACCACCTCTACTGCTGCTCCCTTTAACGCTTCTATTGGAAGTTTACTTGACTTTGTGGTCACAATTCAAAATCTCGTTACTTTATTAGGAGGATTGATAATGGTACGTATCTTATTGTTGAACTCGCATTTAATTATAATCATTTTACATTTCAATAATAATCAAAACACTTGTTTTACCAATTTTTGTGTATCTTTTACATTCGGGAAATTGTAGTAAGGGAGCTTAGGATTTTTTGTTTATCAATTGAGATTCAGCGTCTCTGACATGCCAAGTAACTTGTTGTTCACAGATGAACAACCTGTAATAAGGAATTATTGGCACAACTTGCTTCTACGTCTCCATTCATGTGCTACACTGAAACCACGCCCATTCTTAGATTTATGCTTATGTAACTATGTTCCTCTCAGTCACTCGTAGAATCAAATTCTTTGCAGTGGCAAGACCAAAACGGATGCTGGAGATTTATATAAGCCAGAGGATTGGTGGTTGACAGTCCTAAGAATTATTGGCTCTCGTTACTTCCCATTGCAAATGGATCTTTTAATATATATTTATTTTATATAATTCCCAGTTAACTCCACGTTAAACACATTTTTAGTCGAAAAAAACACCTTTCCACGGAACCCTTTACCTCTCCATTGTTTCTATTTTAGTCTACAGTTCCTTTTGATGTGATTTTTTTCCATGTAAAACAATCAAGTGACTGTTTCTGTACTATACAAAGTTTCAAAAATTAATTGTATTAGTTATTTTATAAATCGTGCAGATTATTATAAATTTAACTTTTACATTAATATATATGCACACGCGCAAAATAATGGATGATATTTATGTTCAAAAAATTATAGTAAAAAAATGTAGTCTCTTACAAAAAAATTATTTCATAAACAAGACAATGAATCTACGAGTTGATCTTTTTATGTTCTCTAATTTTTCTTTCACATCTATGTTCGTGGCTCATCCAACAAGTCAAATCTTAATTATTACTCCCCCTATTTCAAATTATAAAATATTTTAAAAAAATTTTTTCATTCTAAAATATAAGACACTCTGGATTGATTAAGATTTTATTAAATGAGCCAACTTCAATATGACATTTTCTCTCTCTATAATTAATTTTCATCTATTCTCTTTTCAATATATTAAAGAAAAAACATAATTGGCTCGTGTTTTTATTATAGGTCCCTATACTTTTTTTACTATGTTCTAGGCCTCCATACTTTCATTTTTCAGTGTTCTAAGTTCCTAAATGACCAAAATAATCAAAGTGTTGGGACCGTAAATGAATATGAAATATTAAAATGAAAGTTTAGGGACCAAAAGCATCGGAAAAAAAGTGCAGAGATCTATAACAAAAATGAGTAAAATGTAGGGACCAAAAGTTATGTTTTTTTTATATTAAATGATGGGCATTTTAAAAATTGTATATTTTTAATTTTGAAAAGATAAAATTGTTAGTATATTTAATGAGATTTATTGATATGTAAATTTTTTTAAAAAAAATTTATAATTTAAAATGGAGGGAGTATATATAATAAGAGTCAAAAGCTCAATCGTCTTATTGGTCGCCGTGCTAGAATCCCTATCACTTGTTTCTATAATAGTATCTGACACGTTTTTTTTAATTTTTTTGCCCTTTCGTGCGTGTGATTTTTTGAAATTCTATATGCATGCATGTTTGTTAACATTGGCGGACCCACGTGTTGTTCTTGTGTGTGTGTGTGTGTAACAGTTGTCGTAGGAGTTTTCCATTAGGGGCAAGGTGGGCCCTATTATCCTTTGTTTATATAATACTATTCTTTCCTTCAATATATTATTAGACATTTAATTTTCAAACTACCGTGTTAAAAAATATAAAATTTTTTGGATCTGTTAACGTGTAATTAATAGGATTTTTAAAAACCACCCTTAATTAGATAGGTAATTATAACGTTTTTAAATTGAGATGCTTTTATTAAATTAAATAAGCATAATATGGAAAGGTGTGATAGTTTTTTTTTTTTTAATAACTGATATAATGTGGTTAGAAATCCCTTATAGCATTGGACAGATGGAATAATTGGAGACAAGCTTGGGGGGGTTGAATCTAAGAAGTCAATAATTCTTGCCACTCCAGTCATCCAAAGTTCCAAGCCAATATTTGTCTTCCCCTGCACAGACCATATGTTCTCTTTTTTGTCTTCTTGTATTTACAATTATAGGAAGAGTATTGGAAAATCTTAATTTTGATGGTTTGGTTGTATATAATAATTAGATTGATATGGCGTTTGTGCTTCTCTTGAATAAAAATGGGAGAATCTTATTGTGGAAAAATTATATATAAATCTCTTGGAGTATATTTATTTACTAATAAGTCTCACTAAATTTAAAACTACAGTCTGGTCCTTATGGACCTGAGTATAATTTAAAATTAAATTGTAAAGACAATACTGTTCTTACTTACTAGGCTTAACTATTATATATGTAAAGTTGTATTTATAAAATAATAAATAATAGTTGTAAATTACTATCTTTGCACCCAAATTTAAATTATACTCAGGTTTCAAGGAACCTTGATGTAGTTTCTAAATTTTGTAAAACTTTTTGTAAATAATTTGAACCATGGACCTCTACATAATTTTTCTTTTTGTTATAGCCGGCCTACAGTAGCTATATATATATATAGCTATGAAGACGTACCAGCTTGCCAAATTAAAAAAAACACACCCATGAGTTCAAAGACTTTACCTAGATCATACCAATGTAAGAAATATGTTTGTTGGTGGAACCTAGTTAATTATGTTATTTCTCTTACTTTGATAAATTTTGTTCTTTTACAAAGTTATAGATAGCTAAAGAAATCTCAATTATTGACCTTTATGTCATGCAACATATTTTTAAGATGCAGGAAGCATTTTTAAAAAATTTGTTCTACATATTTTTTGTAACGACCCAAGAATTTAAGTAAAATTATGGCAAGCTATTTACCTTATGTGTTTTTATATATTTTGGGGTCAATCTTACCATGATACATTGGTGGTTGAGTGGAATTTTCCTTGTTGGTTGCTCATCAAATCCCGTGCTCAAATCCTCTCGTAGCACTAAGAGGTATTTCTGTTTTTTTTCTTTATTTTTATAAAATTACAAAATGCCCTCTCAAAAAAAAGAAAAGAAAAAGAAAAAGAAGAGGAGGAAAAGGGCAAATTTAGCTAGATGCTACATAAAAAAAAAATTACTCAAATACTACACTTTACAAAATATTTACTCAAATACTACAAATCCAAAATTTGACATCAACCAAATCGATTTATCAAATTTTTTTGACACACAACTTGATATACATGAAGCCAAGTTTTGTGTTGGACAATTTTTTGGTAAAAAAAAAATTAAATATATCTTGTCACCTATTTAGACTATCGTTCCACTCCCATCTTTTCTTTGTTCCAAAGAATAACCCCTTGCTTTTCTCGTGTCTGACTCCCAATCGCCTTCCATAATAATATGTATTATAAAAATATATATATATATATATATATAAACACACAATTATAGTAAAAAATGATGGATGATATTTATGTTCAAAAAATTATAGTAAAAAATATAGTCTCTTACAAGAAATTATTCATAA